TTGAAATGAAAGACTCTGACTATTGAGATAGGAATTGCTCTGCCAGTTTTGGCCCCAATTTCTGGACATTGTTTGCCATCCAGAACCAGATCCCTTAATGGAGACTGAATTAACATCCCCAGCACCCCCAACGTTTGTCACCAAAACCAAGTTGAAGTAAGAGTGTCCATTTATTGTAAACCTTATTCCTCCTTTCTTCTTGCAAGGCACCCTGTCATTGACCAGTACAAACTCCATGTCAGCCGGCGACACTACCTATAAGATACTAAATTCTTGCCTAAACAAAATTTATTCAGATTTAACTTATATTCAGACAACACAATGCAAGTATTACATTGTCAATGCAATTTAACTTACAACAAAAAGTCTTGCTTTTTTAGTATATTCCTCTTATTATGGGTAGTTACCTTAGTGTTAACAAACGTGCACATTGTCCAGTGTTAAAAAAATTAAACTTAACATTCCAAGAAAATCAAAGGAGTTTAAGTTATGTGCACTACATATTTAGGTTAATTAAAAGATATGAGTAATTAAAATTAAATCTCCTTAATAAACATTAGTAATTAGTAACATGATAAAAATAATACTACATCCGTTCACTTTTACTTGTCCACATTAATAGATTTTGCACTCCCTTTAAGAAATAATAAATGAAGTACATATTTTACTATAATACCCCTAACAATGATTCCAAGAATAATTTGGGGAATGAGTAGTTAATGGTAAGGGTAAAGCAGGAAAAAATATTTGTCTTTCCCTTGATTTGCTAAAATGGACAAGTAAAAATAAAAATATATTTTTTTTTATAAAGTATCACATGTTACTACACCGATTTTGTAAGAATTTTGTTATAATGTGACTTAAAGATCAAACTTTACCTTCGGAAAGATACAGGGACAATTCCTGCTCTGTATTGAGCTAATTGCAAGAAGGCAGGCTCAGCCAAATCGAAGTGCTGGAGAGGAGGATTGCACCAGCCGCCATTGTCATTAGGTAGGGATGGATTCGGAGGACAGAAATTTGTGGCAGTGACAGTAATAGTCCCTTGTAGGCACCATTGAGCGTCATTGCTGCAAGTGAGCTCGTAGCAAGCCCCACAGCTCAATCCGTTGTTGAATAGTGCTGTGCTTAGTGCTGCAGTGTTGGTTCCATATCCTTGGCTGTACAAATTCCCATAACCACAAGCACCACCTGCATGTTCCAAATACGGCATGTTTCTTCAGAATTTTATATTATCATGCCACTTAAAAGATAAATATGGCAGATTACTTGCTATAATAGGTTGATATATACTGACACTGTCGGTGTATTTATAAGTTCCTTTTTCAGTTACGGTATAAATTGTTTTGAACTCATATTTTAAAACAGCTCAAAATCTTGAACCATAAAGATTAAATTTTGAATCCGCCTCTAAACACNTAAATTTTGAATCCGCCTCTAAACGTACGTACCCATTGTGCCTGATGCATCACCCCCTCCATAGAAGGTGGCATGAGCATTTTTCCAGCCTCCATAATCAGCAAAAGTTCCATGGAAGCAAAAGCTTAAACAAAAGAAAAAGAGAGAATAATGTATGGAGAATGTTGCAGGAACAGCCATTGATGAAGAAGTTGGTAAGTCAATTAAGGATTAGCAGAGGGTGAGAGAGTACTAAGTGACTTAATAATACCAGTTGAAGGGGCATGGAGGCGCAATTTATTTATATAGTAGTAAACTGGAAGCAGAAATTGGGGCTTAAGATCTGGTAGGCAAATGTAAGTATATACGTAGATAGTGACAAGCTAGCCGTGCTCAGGTCCTGAAAGCTTGCCATTTTCTACATCATGACAAATTTTATTTATATTCTCCGGTTCTCCTAAAATTGAGCTAGTCGATTAGAGGTGAAAAATAGGATAGTTGCTTCAAGCATCCTGTTAGTTACCATACTAACTTCCAAAACCAATTAATAGCTGACAACTTGGAAGTGCACGGGCACTAGCTCGTACGAGAACATAGAGTCAAATGTTGTTAATAGGCCAAGGTCAAAGATGAAGAAACAGCTTCAGCCTTCGAGGTTGGGGAAATACCCGTGCACACATCAGTTTACGCACACCTCAATTAATTTGTTCATATCTAAAGCAAATACAGGTCTACTGTATAATTTATGAGTTTATTCGAATCTAATAGTTGGCTCGAACCATGTATATATGTGTTAAAATTCACTATTGGAGTACAAATAATGAATTTAAACCTAGCAAATCAAATAAGTTATGCTAGAATCCAGAAGTCGAATTGAACTTATAATATTCAAATCCTGGTTTCACCTATGAATTTTAAAGTGATTTGTTTGGCTATACTCAGTACAATTCGAAATTTATGACTGAAAAATAAGCGGTATGTCTACAACAGAATAGTTTTTGTCACGACCCAAAACCCCAACCAACGGGGTCGTGATGACAACTAACACTGCTTTCTAGGCAAGCCAACAAGTAACAATAAATAAGAAAACTAGACTAACATATAGCAACAAATAATATGGAATACGAGAAAAACTCAAAAATATATATTAATAGTCTAAACCCAAACATCGTCCATATAACCTCCCAAGATTTGGTGTCACAGAGTACATGAGCTACTAAGAGTACTACATATAAAGCCTGAAATGAAATTTAATTCTATATGATATAAGAAAATAACGATAATAAGAGCTAAGGTAATTCTGGAGTCTGAAGGAGGAAAACAACATTATCTCGAGTCTCTCTGGTCACCAAGCTATGCTCCTCGCTAGATACTGCTAGGACCGGCACAGAATTGTACAAGAAGTGCAGAAGTATGATATGAGTACAACCAACCCCATGTACTCAGTAAATATTGAGTGTAACCTTGACGAGATAATGACGAGGCTAAGACAAGACACCTACCGTATAAACCTATACAGTTAATTAGCAACAGAAATAGTAATAGAATTAACATTAATAATAATAGGAATAAAGGCATGAAATAGTAAAAAGAATCCGATAACAAAAGTGATAACCACATTTCTTGAATAGCGCAACCAAAACCCTTTTCGGCAGTTCAAATCAACGGGGAAGAAGCAATATCCATAATCAACACAACCAAAAGCCACAGGGAAGGTTATATCACAAAAAACACCAACATTTCATAACACATACGTTATGGCGGCACAACCAAATTCAACACACACAAACATTGTTGCGACGGCAACCCGATCACATGGTCATACAATTATTGTGGCGAGCAACCAGATCCTTATCATAATATTGTTGTGGAGGCAACGCGATCCAATATATCAATTAACATGGAATTATCCAACAACACATTCAAATATAGAAAAATTCATATCAACTATTGAGAAGGATGAAATAGCATAATTCATCAAGGAAATGACAGACACGAACAAAAAGAAATGGCAAATTCCAAGTTTTAGAGCTAATCTTACTCATGTAAAACAACAAGGATCCAAGCAAGGTTATTAACATGCAAATGATCAAATAGCTACACAGTCCAATACCACGTAGAAGAACGAAGTATGAAACGAGTAAAGGCATACGACAAGTAACAAGTAAAGTCGTAGCATATAAAGGTATATAACAGGCAAAAGCATGTAACATGTAGTAGTTAAAAGCATGAATCTAGTAAAAATATTTAACGAGTAAAAGCATATAATAAGTAAAGACATTTAACAATTAAAAGCATGAAATAATTAAGCAAAGACATGAATAAAGTAGTCACACCCACATAATTTTAGCCATTGACGATGCGTATGCCCTTATCACTTTGCATATATGTAGTCCTAACACATGGGACATATAGTAATTAGACCAATCACACCTAATTCTATCAAATCAAGATTAACGATACTTACCTCTTTCCGGAACTAAATCAATACTCTAATACAGCTTTGCCTTTAGCACAAGCCTCTAAACAACTTGAATCTAGTCAAATAATGTTTAAATAAGTAAAAACAAGTTTTAGAAATTATCCTAATATCAAAAGGATTCAATCTTTAACATATTTAGAAAAATCAACAAGAAGTCAATCCGAGCCCACATGGTCGAAAGTCCGAAATTAAGACCTAAATCCTGATTACATATTCTCTCACGAATCCAAATATGTAATTTGCGACTCAAATCGAGGTCCAAAATACCGATTTGCCCTGATAAATGTTTTTCCAAAACTCTAATTTTTACTCTTTAAAAAACTAGATTTAGGGATAAATCTATGGGTATTTATGGAAATAAATCAAAACTAGGTAAAGAAAAAATACTAACCAAATAAGTTATGATGAAAGTCTCTTCAAATATCTCCTCAATCCGTGATCTAGTCTCAAAAAATGAAAAGTAACTAAATCCCAATTTTCAGCCCTTTATTACCTAAGCGTCAAGCGCTCTTCGCGTTCGTGAAGCACCTGCCTCATTCGCAAAGACTTCGGCCAACTAGATATTGCGTTCTCGAAGGCCTCCTCGCTTTCACGAAGGCATCGCCCCTCTCAAGCCTCCACATTCACAATCCATTGGTCGCGTTATTGATGAATAACCGTCTGCCAGCCTCGAGAGCCCATGCCTACGCATTCGCATGAAGTCTGCCTCATTCATAAAAGGCAATCCCCCCAGGACCTAGTGTTCAGTAGCTTTCCCTTGTGTTCGCATAGTATAAATCATCCATGCCCCAATTTTCCCTTCACGAACGCGAGCTTAGCTACGCGTTCGCGATGCACAATGCGCAGCAGCACATGAGTTATTGCATATTGTACAAAAATGGCTAGAAACCATCTCGGAACTCATTCGAGTCCCTTGGGTCCCAATTCAAATATTCACACAAGTGTATAAATTTCATACGAACTTGTTCGTGAGCTCAAAACACCAAATTAATATCAAGAATCAAGAATCACATATCAAAACTCAAAGGTTTCACAGTTTGTAACTTTCATTTTTGAAATTTTTACAACAAGCCCTGAAATGGCCTCGTGTCACCCGAGACCCTAACCAAACATGCGTACAAGTCCAAAAGCATCATATGAACCTATCAGAATCGTCAAAAAATTGATCCTATGTTGTTTACCAATAATGTTGACCATAGTCAACTCTAACCATTTTTAAGTTCAAATGTCAAGCTTTCTTTGTAAAATCACACTTAAACTTTCCGGAAAATAAGACAAACCACAAATGCAAGTTATAAATCATCAATAATGCATATAAGGTCTCAAGTTGTGAAATGCAAAGTTAGAACTCAAAACGACATGTTGGGTGTTACATTCTCCACATATAAAAGAAATGGTCATCCTCGAACGGACATAGAAATGTACTTGAACGGGTAAAGAGATACGGATATCTACTCCTCATACCGAACTCGAACTCCCAAGTAGCCTTCTTTGTTGGTTGATCTCCCCAAAGTACTTTCATGGAAGAAATATCTATAGATCTTAACTTTCAAACCTACCGATCTAGAATAGCCACCGTCTCTTCTTCATAAGTCAAGACCTTATCAAGCTGCACCGTGATATGCATACTAGGATCACATCAATTATCAATGAACTGATATCTCTTGGAGAAGTTATTCGTTGTAATAAAATTATGAAAAATATTCTGTGCATATTGCCCCTTCATGGGAAAGTAAGGTCAATGCAATTACTGAAGCAGAAAATTTGAACACAATGACTCTTGATAATCTTATTAGAAACTTGGTGACTTATGAGTTAAAACTTAATTAGGATCGTCTAGATCGACAATTTGCTTAACCTCGCAAGGCCAAGAACCTGGTTTTTAAGACCACATAGAAGTAGGATTTAGAAGAAGATGATATGACACTACCTACCAAACGTTTCCAATGAGAAATAAGGAATGGTGGATTTGTGAAGAAAGATAGTTCATCCAACCTATGGTTGCAAAGAAAAAAACAATGATAGATGTTACACGTGTGAAAAAAAGGGATCACTTCATTAAAGATTGCCCCTTGTGTGAAACTGGGCGGAAAAGGAACAATCCTGGATAGGAAAAACAACATAAAAGAGACCGGATTCCTGAAGGAAGGATGACAAATAAGTCTATGGACAAAAGTATGAAAAGAGTTATGGCTGCCATGCGATCATCTTCAACTAATGATGATGATAATGCTAATGATGATGATGATGATGATGATGATGATGATGATCAATCTTGATGGTAAAGGAAGATAGTGATTCATAACTACAAGATCTTCTAGCATTGATGGCAAATTCAAACTCTGATGCTGAAGAGGAAGAAGAACCTGAGGTAAGTTTTCAAGATATCAAAAAAATAGAATTCACACCTACTCTAAAAAGAAATTAATTTCCTTGTCTGTTGTCTTGATGGATGCATACTAAAAGGTTTTTGATAAAAAGGAATAATTAATGATTATGCATTACTTAGGTTTGAGCACAAAGATCTTGAAATAAGTAGTGATAATCTTGAAGTCTTTGTAGTTAATCTCAAGGACTAGATTCTTGTGTTGGAAGATGAAAATACTGCCATAGAAACTGAGAATATAAATTGCTCAATGCTCCCAATAAGGATAAAGACTCAGCCATTGATATCCAGAAGAAATTAGATAGTGAACTAAAAGAAACTAATAAAAAACTTCTAGTTGAATTTGAAAAGGTTAGGATGTTTCAAGAAAATCTGGATAAGGCCAAGTTTGAATTAGAAGAACTTAAAGTGGACAAGGTCTTCCCAAATAATATTTAAGATGCATAAGAACTATAGTAGTAACAAACGAAGTTTAGGACATACTGCGACTAAAATTTCATGCAATCCTCATAGTAAGTAGGTAGACATTCATGACAATTGCCTCTTCACTCACTATGGTAATAATGGACACCTCAAAGAAATATGCATAGCTAGAATTCAAGCAAGCCTGAAAAATATTGCATATATTGAGAAAGTAAAGTGATAAAACATGGTTCTTCACTAATAAGTGGAAAACTATCAGGGTGGACTAAGAAGAATGCAATTCATCATTTTACTTAAAGACAGGGACCCAAGCTTGTCTGTATTCCTAAAGCTATCCCCTGAATGTTTTTGTAGACTAAGGTGAGATGAAGTAAGAATTGGTGGTATGTTGATAGTGCTTGCTCCGCCACATGACTGAAAATGGAGATAATTTCCTCTCACTAAGAGCCTACCAAGGAGGGAGTGTGGGCTCCGAAAATAGATAAAAGTGAAATATTATCTACATAGATAAGGTTGGTAAGTGCCATTCTCATGCTATTGAAAATATATATTATGTTAAAGGTCTGAAGCATAGTTTGTTGAGTGTTTCCCAAATGTGTAACAAAGGGAACCGATTTCTCTTTACTTCTAAGAACTGTATGGTTACAAATGAAAACTCTGGCTACCTGGTGCTCCAAGGAAAAAAGCAAAAAAAAAAATTTACTAAGCCAATATTATGTCGTCACCTGAAAATAAACTTTCACGTCTTAGTACACTTGATATTAACTCTTTTCCGTGGCACAATAGACTAGGGCATTCTAATTTTTCTATGTTAAGAAAATTAACTTCTAAGGACCTAGTTCTTGGATTGCCCAAGTTAAAATTCAGAGAAGATAAAATATGTGATGCTTGTACTAAAGGTAAGAAGGTCAGATCATAATTTAAATCCAAAAAAGTGGTAAGTACCTCTCGACCTCTGGAACTACTTTACATGGACTTATGCGGATCAATGAGGGTTCATAGTAAATGTGGAAAGAGGAATGCGTTTGTAATTGTTGATGATTATTCTAGGTTTATCTAGACTATTTTTCTGGCAACTAAGGAAGAAACATATGATATGTTTGTGACTATTGTGAACAAACTACAAAGAAAAATGAACAGTCATGTAGCTAACATTAGATCTGATTATGGAACTGAATTTAAAATATTAACTTTCTAGAGTTCTATG